AACTGAAATGAAAAAAAAAAAATGCACAAATATAAAAAAACATACAGAAAATTACTAAAATTTAAATAAAACCTGAAAATATAAAAATAAAAGCTAATTCAAGGTATCAAAAATTATTAATAAATATGAAAACTAAAATGATAGTATTTATTCATATTTTGAATTAGCTTTTATTTTAATACTTTTCCCTTTTTTTCAGTTTCAGTTAGTTGCCAAGGTGACATTTCTATTTCATTTTTAAGCTGAAGTACTAAAACTGAAATAAAAAAATTAAAAATAAACATAAATATTTAAAAATATATATAAAATTACTATTAAATATATATATAATATATAAAATTATATATTAAAATTACTTAAACGTAAACTAAAATTTAAATAAAAACTGAAAACATAAAAATAATGCAAAATATTAAATAATATTCATAAATACTTCAACAAAAATATATAATATTTATTCATATTTTGAATAAGTTTCGATTTTATATTTTTAGTTTTATTTATTTTGGCTAGTCACCATTAGGCATCATTTCTATTTCATTTTCGTTTAAGTTGAAGTACTAAAACTGAAATAAAAATTAATTAATTAAAGATAAAAAGAAATATTTTAAAAACAAATAAAAATGACAAAACTTAAATTTGAAACTACAATTGAAAACTAAAAATATACAAATAAAAGCTAATTCAAAATATTAATAAATACTTAGTATATAAATAATACTAAAATAATACTTGCAACCACCTAAAACATCTTATCTATAATCTGCAGAAATCATTTCCTAGCACCGCTGGAGTCTGCCAGAGAGGTAAGAAAGTACATCAAACTATGCGTTTTTATTATTTGATGAACAATGGAGAATGATTGGCAGAATCATTTGCTTCAGTGATTCAAATTGCTTCTGTTATGCAGCCTGCTTCTGATTTAGTTCAGTGTTTTTGTATTGAGAATGTTGAGATGTTGAGATGTTTGATTTGAGTCGCACTTGAGAAGAACTGTTCGTGCACCGAGCCTCACAAGGCTGCATGACTGCACTGGCCTTAACCTTTTGTTTTCCTTGTCTGCTCTTTTCTTTATCAGGTGGATTGTTTGTGGGGTCACCTGATGATCCGGCCCGCAGTGCTATTCTGAGCAAGTCTGCGCTGCAGTACTATGTTCAGCAGTTCACCAAGAGCGGCTTCAGGTACACTGAGCAAATCAGTCCAAAATGTGCATCATATTTATGTGTGTTCATATGCAAAATGTAATTTAATTAAGTACAGTATGACATATTGGTTGTCAGACAACATTTCGGTAACACTTTATTTCGATAGTCCACTTTAGACATTCTATTAACAGTAAGTAACTTTGCAACTACATGTCAACTAGCAGTTAGTAGAGTATTAGTAGACTGTCTGCTTAATATCTTCTAACACTTTCTTTGTCAACTTATTCTACTAACCCTAAACCTACCCTAACAGTCTACTCTGAGAGTTAGTAGACATCTAGTTGCAAATTAATGAGAATTAGTCGACATGTAGTTGACATGTAGTTACAAAGTTTACTTATAGTTAGTAGAATGTCTAAAGTGGACTATCGAAATAAAGTGTAACCAACATTTCCATTTTTAATAACTCTTACCAAATTAGTTGAAGGCTTAAGGTTAGGTTTGAGGTTATGATTGATATCAGTGTTGTCTCAGGTCCATTAAAGGATGATGTTCCAGGCAGATGTCCTACTAGACTAAATCATGTTGTGCAAAGGCTTCATATTTCTTCAGGGTGTTTTATATTTTGTTTTCCTTTCAAAATAAAAAGGAAACAATTTGTAAATCTCTTTAAAACAATAGTTCACCCCAAAATAAAAATTGTCGTCATTTACACACTGTCAAGTTTAAACGTGTATGATTTATATGATGATAAAATATTTTTAAAAAATTAAGAATTTTTTAGGATTTTATGCTTTGACATTTTCAAAATTCTAAATGATCCTTAATAGACTCATAACATACAATGTAATTATAATATATATATATATATATATACACACACATATTAAAATATAAAAACATGCATTTTGGATCAAAACAGGATACTTTTTTTTCCATGCTGCATACACTTATCATGTGCATATTTAGTATTTAATATGCGCTATTCATTTGCTATTTATTTTATTCTTCACATATAGAGCCTTTATATTTATTTTTATATGTATTTTATTTTATATATATATATATATGTGTGTGTGTGTTTTTCCACACACAAACTATTGTATTTATATATTTTATGAGTAATTAGGACTATTTTTGTGGTATATTCTTCCACAGAATAAAGGAAATCATATGAGTTTGAAATGACAGAAGGTTTATGTGAACTAAGCCTTTAAACATGAGGCACTGATAATGAATGCATTCTTGTGCACATGACATAGATGACATGTTGTCACTGCGAGTCTGGTTTTGTCCCAGGGGTCCTCTGAACTGGTACCGTAACGGGGAGAGGAACTGGCGTTGGATGTGTTCCAGACCGAGGGGCAAGGCAAGTGTCCTCACTGTGCGCTCGCTCTCTCTGACACCATCACTGTCAGAAATACCCCAGTGCCACTTATTCCAGCAAATACACAACCATGCGGCCTGAGTGGAGCAGATGCCCCAACATCTGCTTCTCCATGACGAGCTGATGTGTTTCAACTTTGGCTGCATCACTCATAGATGTGTGTTTTATTAGGAAGGGAAATCAACAACTTGTTTTTTCAGTTGAATTAAAAAAAAATATTAATGCAGATTAAAGGGGTCATATGATGTTGCTAAAAAGAACATTATTTTGTGTATTTGGTGTAATGAAATGTGTTTATGCGGTTTAAGGTTCAAAAAACACATTATTTTCCACATACTGTACATTATTGTTTCTCCTCTATGCCCCGACTTTCTGAAACGTGTCGATTTTTTTGGATTTGAGACTTTAGTCTTTGCAACTTTACAGATCTTCTTTATGCACCAAGAGCTTGTAACACTCCAAAGAGAAAGGAAAAATTGAAATCGCATCATATGACCCCTTTAACTGATTGAAGCTGTTAAATTGATGCTGTTGTTATTTCATGCTGCAAATGCAATCAAACTTGATACTGAAATAACACAGTTGTGACTTTATTTAAAAAAAATCGAATGTTACACACCGTATCTTATGAAATTGTTGCATTTTTTAAGTCAGTTCCCTAAGACTGTCAAAACTAATTTGGTTGAAAGTACATGAATTAAAATGCTTCTGCCGTCCCAGATCATGATGCCAGCTTTAATGGTGACCGCAGGAAAGGACCCTGTTCTTCTGCCAGCCTTTGCCACAGGCATGGAGAACCTGGTGAGACAGCAACTTTGTTATTCTTCCATTATGTTAATGCTGCATTCAGATCATGTTATAATTACCATAATTACGACTTGGAGTTGTTCACGTCCTCAGACTCACAGATTTATGGAAGCTTATTTACAGCAAAAAATAGAAAGCAAATTTTTAATCTCACAAATTCTGGGTTTGTATAATTTTTTTCTCACGAGTTAACATCAGAATTCTCGCAATTCTGAGAATTTTTTTTTTTTTTAGAAAAGTCATAATTATAAGATATAAACTCAGAATTCAATTTTTTTCTTACAATTCCAAGTTTGTCTCACAATTCTGATTTTATATCTTGCAATTGACTTTTTTTCTCAGATTTGTGAGATATAAATGAATGATTGTGAGAAAAAAATCCAGAATTCTATCTTGTAATTTGTACTTTTTTTTTCTTTCTCAGAATTCTGAGTTTATATCTCAAAATTCTAATTAGAAAAGTCAGAATTGAGATATATATAGTTGCAATAACTCTTTGGTTTTATTCCGTGGCAGAAATAAGCTTCCTCACAAAACATTAGTGCCTATGGTGAGTTCAACATAGAAATAAATTACGGTTATTCCGATACTTTACATAAACGCAGTATGAGATTGCATGTGTAATGTCGTGTTGTCCATGTAAGCTGACTTGATGTCTTGTTGTTTCTATCTGAAGGTCCCCAACCTCACCAGAGGCCACATTGAGGAGTGTGGACACTGGACTCAGATGGAGAGGTAAGATTCACTGGAAACTGATGTTTATGTGGAGGACGATGTCATTAAATAAATGACAATGGTTCACTTTCACAAACACGATGGAAAGTAATATTAAGAACACAGGGAAACAATATGAATTGATTACCATTTAAACAATATTCCCAAGATGTTTTATTTGAAACATTTTATTTGAAGAAAGAAAAATATGTACATAATAATCTTAATAAAATGCCATTTCTAGAAGTTTATTTTAAAAATATCTTAATAATATCACAGCTTCAACCAAAATAGTGAAATTAATAAATATTCACCCCTATGTTCACTTAATTGTGATATTGTGAAAAAACTCATGATTTGCATCATTATAAGTTGACTTTATTTTATCCAACATTGTTTATGTGATGGGGACATGAAAATGTACTCATAACAAGAATGATTCATTACAGATATATTGACATTAAACTTAATCAAAAACTCATATAGCAACAATTTACATGTTTGAATGGCTTTAAAATTACATGGTGCCTCTTAAATGTCAGCAAGGTATCAGGAATACTTGGTTTCCAGGAAAATTGGAGAAAAAAAATAATTGACAGACTGTCTGACCTTTAGTACTTTGGTTGACTGTTGTTATATGGGGAGTGTAATAATTGATAGAATAAAATAGGTTAATACGATGTCAGGTTAGGTTAACTGGATTAGATGCTCAGACTGAATAAGATATGGCCTACAATGCATGTTTGAGTCTTATATATTCTGGAACGTGTGCATCATTTTTCTTCCCATCATTTCTTGTCCCTTCTCTCAGATCAAATGCTAGACTCATATCAGCAGTAAATACTTTGAGTCGTATTACTTCAGCAGCAGTTACCAGGTTATTCTCATGAAAACTCTCAAGGATATATTCAGGTTATGTTTCATCCCAAATATGACATTTTTGCATAAAGAAAATTAAGCCTTTTTAGAATAGATTTTATGCTTTGTGACTCAGGGTTATTATAAGTAATAATTAAATAAAAAAGAATAAAATAAAGTATATAAATAAATATATATAATAAGTAAATAATTAATAAGTAATACATAAGTAAATAATTAAATAAAATTAAAAATTAAACCATAAAAAGCTTGCTTTCAAATATTAAAATGTACTAAATAACTAAAAATAAAGCTTAAATAAACATTTTTAAAAATGTATATATTATACACATATTTACACATTTTTGCAAAAATAAATAAATAAACAAAACAAAAAATGACAAAAACACTCAGTATAATTACTAAAACTGATAAAAACTGATGATAACAAAATATAAAAATAAAAAATATTAACAAAATATATAATAGTATCTTAGTGGTACTAAAAAACACTGACATTTTTTCATAAAACAAATCATCATGGGCCAAAAATAGGCTTAATTTTCTTTGTACAAGAAATGTAATATATAATATATATTTGTTTGATATATATTTGGTTGGTTGGTAGGTATTGTTTCTTTTTTCTTTAAAAAAAAAAAAAAAAAGGGCATATATGCCCTTTTTATTTGGATGAAAGACATGGACCCAGACATGTTTTTGGCATGTTCAAATCTCTGAAATGTACATCGGCAACAAATTGCATCGTGTTGAAATCATTTTCAGGATGCTTGTGTCAAAACAGACGACTCAACAGACTATTATTCTCTGACAGACCATGGTTCATTGTCATTTATAAGCCTTTTAGAGCAGCAGCACGTGTTACCATTCAGCATTTCTTACAGAGAAGCGCAGTTTTAATGAAAGATTGCTCAGATCCAGGGTTTCCATCATTGACCGGGGTCAGGGCAGTGATTGTACAACACCATCACCTCGGTCGACCAGCCAATCACATAAATAACAGTAACGTGACACTGACAGAAAGATCCAGCTTATCTCAAGGTTAAACCACCATAGAGACAAAAACATTCCTCTTGTGTGTCATACATTAAAAGATACAAACCCAAAATCACTAGAACGTCCGTCTGATAAAGCAGGATGAAGAAAGCATCCAGGTCACATTTCACCCAATAATCAACAGAAAGAAATTGGGTTGCATATTATACTGTAGGCTTACATAATAAGAAGCTTCAGAATAGGAAGATTAGCATTATGTTTTTAAACATTTGTCCCGTTTCCAATGCTTTTCCAGAAACTACAGTTGTTAACAATGGTCCGCGTCTCATGTGCATATTGCAAAATGAACTGCTTTACTAAAAATGACCCACAGTGTTGGCTGAAGGGTGAAATGTGCATTCCTTGTCCTTTAAAGTGTGAAGAATGGCCTGAAACTGTTGGCAGATTATGTCAGATAAGTCATAAATGGAAACCAAACCCACCTGATGTGTATCTCACACCACCAACGGCTCTTTCCATTCAGGTCATGGGGCATTTCAGAGCTTTATTCTGTTAAACCCGCTGTTTCAGATACAGCTCTCAGATTTACTTGACATATAATGTTACTTGGCTTTGCAAAACTTGCCACCACAATCCTAAAGTGTCACTGCACTTAAAAAAATGAATGTCTTCAGGCCTGTTCACACCAAGGACGATAACTATAAAGATAATGATAAAGATATAGTTCTAAAAATCGTTCTCAATATTAAAGAATAGCAGCATCCACACCACAGCTATAATGATAAAGGCACAGAGAAACCATATCGTTGGAATCACTTTCAGAACAATTTTTTTCCAGCTGATGAATGATAAAAACATTGGCAGCCAATCAGGATCAATCCTGCTATAATGAGCTCGAGAATTTAAAGCGGCAGGCAAGAGTGCGCTTGGAATAAACAGATGGGCTAATATAGTTATCTTTATAGAAACCGTTCTTAATGTGAACGGGCCTTTACTCAGTATTTTTTTCCCAGCACAAACATCTAAACATTCTTAAATCAAGATACATTTATTTGAGAAGGCAAATCACAAGATATTAGTTAGCTTAAAACAAGAAAAATAAACTTAAGCCTTTTAGAAACATTAAGATTTTATTATTATTATTATTATTATAGCTTTGTGTTTGTGTGTGTGTGTGTGTGTGTGTGTGTGTGTATGTATATATATATAAAGATCATGCATATTAAGTTTGCATATAAAAAATTATGCCTTTTGTAGGACCATTAAGATATTTAAGATTTTTGAAATTGTATATAGTTATTTGTATTTTTATAGATATTTATATTATAGATATTTGATACACATTTTAACATGAAACAAAAAATATGTATGGATAATGAAGTCAACCAAAGTAAAGGGTTGTTATCTTTAACTAAAATGAAAATCATTTAAAAATCATTAATTGAAATAAAATAAACATTAAGTGAAATAAAATAAAATATGCAAATGCATTTTATTTCTGCTATACACACACACACACACACATACAGTATATATATATTGATCCATTTATTTTACATATATATCCTTTAAGAATAAACTTATTTTAAAGGAAAACAATAATTTTTCTTACTTCATTCTGATACATTTTTCAGAAAACAAGACTTAATATCTTGTCATTTTGCTTCTCAAGTAAATGTATATTAGATGTTTGTACTGGAAAACAAGACAAAAATACTTAGCAAGAAAATGATTTTGTCTGTCTTCTCAAACCTCATCTGTGGTTTTATGGTAATGTCCTTGTCGTGTGGTTAATGCTGCTCTAATTATCCGTCCTGCTCTCAGAGCAGAGCGTGATTTAACCGTCCTCTCCGCACTGACCCGAGGGCTCTATAACGCAACCCCTGCGGCTGTAAATTATTTTAACGTCTCTTGACCCGTCCATCACCCTCTCCACCCTCCACTGAACTTCAGTAATCAATAGATGAACGCTGGCATTCTGAACCTGTCAGAAAACGCCTGGCTTCATTTTCCAAACAGGCCATGTGACGTGACCCCATAAGACAAAGATTTTTATGCTTCTCTGAACTTACACAGGGGTCAGAGTGTTTTTTTCTCTCATGAAGCTGGTTTGTGGTTGCTACCTTTATAAGATAGGAAATGTGTTCACTGGGGTTTGCTAAATGTGATGAGATATATATATAGCATTCAGGGTTTTGAAAAACCAAACACTGCTAAGTATTAAATTTGAGTAAGTTCGTCATCCTGCAGCATTCAAACTCCAGAAATAAATGATTCATAAGTCTTGTTTAGGTGCTTTACTAACCATGTAAAGCCTGACATATGCAGTATTAGTCAGATTTTTATTTTTATTTTTTTGGAACAGTTTTTTGAACCTTTAGACAAAATCTAAAAATAGGTGTCCATATGCATTTTTGTTGAGTATCATATTTGATACATCAGGCTTTTATGGCTCATGTAGTATGAGATAATGAGAATATGGAGGAAAAACTGTTTTATTCAGAGGCTCAAACTGAGAAACAATAAGCAATTTGATGCAGATGCTGATAATTATATTATAATAGCTTCTGATAGCTTGTCATGTAATGCGATCTTTAGAACAGTATAGCAGCTACTTACATAAAACAATATACAGTGGGTATAGAAAAGAATCACCCGCCTTTAAAATAAACACATTTTGTTGCTTTGCAGCCTGAAATGAAGATGGACACAGTTTTTGTTTTATCCAGCTGTATTTTCTCGGTGCAACTTCTAGCATCCAAGTGAAAGATATAACACAGAAATGTCAGGAAAAAAATTTAAAAACCGAATCACTGTCTTAGTAAGATGATATTTAAATGTTTAGTTTGATCAAAACAAATAATGCCAAGAACATGATTTTTCAAAAAAAAAAAAATAATAATTTAATTGAAATAAACTAAAATAAAACATTTAAAAAACACACATTTTTCATTTTCATTTATTTTAAATCAAAGTACTAAAATAACTAAATAGAATTCAAATTAAAAATATGATCAAAAACTAGTAAAGTATATTAATGATACTAAAGTAACCCTGAAGTTGCTTCAGTCCAGTACGTGTCTATCTTGAAATATTACTGACAATTTAAATGTTATTCTTTAGTTTACTTTATAAAAATCAGAAAAGATTTCACAACAAAAAGGCACGTGAACCACCAGCTGAAGGTGAACATTTGTACAATGATACTAAAAGGCCTTTTACTGCTAAAAGAGTATAAACTATCAATCAGACGACAGAAAGCATGTAGTAGATTGTGTATGAAGAGTTTTTCAGCAAAATTTTGATTGTTGATCAATTCGAAGCCTTACAAATGTGTGTATCCAGTATGATCCAATAGGCTTTATAGGGCTAATGAATTGTTCAAATCTCTAACTCTCATCATGAGCCATATTAATAGAAAGCATCACTAATTATTTGAGGTTATATCACATGATCAGATCAGTCCAATCTCTTCTTCCTCTTCTCTCTTCAGGCCTGCAGAGCTCAATAAAATCCTCATCTCCTGGCTGAAGGAAACACACCAGAAAGCCTCCATCCCTGTTCATCCCAAGTTATGAGAGCATGATCTTGATTTTAACTATCCGCGGGTGAATGAACGCCCGGCTAAAGCGCACTAATGTCCAGGCTTGCTGATTGCATAATAATAGTCCATTGTGAGTGGATTTCAGTAGTCCAGTACTTTTCATATGAAGTCTTTTGTAATACATTGCAATAATGAAGAACTGTTTTTTAAGGCAATGTCTATTTATACTGTGCAAATAGCACAAGCTACTTTTCACTTGCTCATATATTTCAGCTTTAGTTCAATCATTTCTGTTTACATTTCCTGTGAACAGCATCTGTTACTGTTTGCACTTAGTGTACGTAGCCGCTGCCTTTTTTAACGCAACACTGAAGAAAATAACGTTTTATTATGATTTTTTTATTAACAGCTTTGCTTCGCAAAAGATAACCAATAAATAATCCTTTGCATTGTAATAAAGCAAATCATGACTTCTTTCTTCAAGAATCATCAAAACAAAGTATTATGTTTGCTAGTAACATATTGATATTTGTAACCAATATTGGCCAGACCAATTACTCTAATTGGCAATTTTTTGATTAGCGACATCAGCCAATAAATTAATTCAATAACTCAGTTGTAGAATCGGATGGAGATTTTTTTTAAGTGTGTGTGTGTACATACTCTGAAAAATTCTTTCTCGTTTCATATCAGCACTTCTGTACACGTTATCTGCTATCAATATATTTTATTAATAGGTCAGTAAGAATTTGTTTAAAAAATATTTTGCATAAAAAAATGAAATGCATCAAAAGTGACAGTAAAGACATTTATAATGCTACAAAAGGTTTCTATTTTAAATAAATGCTGTTCTTTTGAACATTCTATTCATCAAAGAATCATTCTAATCAGCATATTAAAATTATTTCTGAAGGATCGACCACAGATGTTAAAGCAACAGGTCTGTAGTCATTAAGTCCTGTGATTTTTGGTTTCTTGGGTACAGGGATGATGGTGGAACATTTGAAGCAGGAGGGGACTACACACAGCTCCAGGGATCTGTTGAAGATCAATGTGAAGATGGATGATAGCTGGACAGCACAGGCTTTGAGGCAGGCTGGAGAGACACCGTCTGGGCCTTTGGCTTTCCTTATCTTCTGCTTTCTGAAGACTTTGCATACATCCTCTTCACAGATCTTGAGTGCAGGATGAGAAACAGTAGGGGGGATGGAGGGGGAGGGTGTTGATGGCTGTGCCGTGAGACGGTCGGAGTGGGTGTGGGGTGTCAGACCAGGCTTTTGCTTTTCAAACCTGCAGTAAAACTTGTTCAGGTCTTCAGCCAGTTGTTGATTGGCCTCAGTGCTGGGGGATGGGGTCTTGTAGCGGGTGATGGCTTTCAGGCCTTTCCACACTGATGTAGAGTCATTACTTGAAAGCGGTTTTTTTAGCTTTTCAGAGTAGTTTAACTTTGCCACTCTTATCTTCCTATTCAGTGTGTATTTGGCCTGTTTGTACAAGTCTTTGTCCCCACTCCTGTAGGCGTCCTCTTTGGCCTGGTGAAGCTGTTTGAGTTTTGCAATGAACCAAGGTTTGTCGTTGTTAAATGTTAAATAAGTCCTGGTGGGAACACACACGTCCTCACAGAAACTGATGTAGGATGTCACGGTGTCAGTAAGCTCATCCAGATCATTAGCTACAGCCTCAAAAAAACCCTCCAATCAGTA